GAGACCCGGGTGCCATCTTAGGGGAATTTGTGGCTTTTCAGATACCTGCCCTGGGACAGGCACAGTCGGGGCCGTGCGGACCCTGTGCTCTCTTGACGCCCTCAGGGAAGGGAAGGCCTGCTGTGTGGCCTCCAGCGAGGGCAGCAGCTCTATCCAATGGTCACTCCAGGCACCCTCGGGAGGCACAACCTTGAGGGGGAAGTTTGCGCCCCCTCCTCCTGGCTGTGCACCTCCAGGGTCCAGGTCTCCCAGTGTCACGGGGCAGGTGGGAGGGTACGGCCCACCCAGCCTCTTAGGCGACCTTCAGTGGGGGCCTCTCTCCAGAGCACTTTGTGCCAGTCGAGGCCCTGTCTCACGGAAAGCATCCCCTTTGGACAAGATGCCATCTGGGACCCTGAAGGGACAACCGCATCCAGCAGGCACTAGAGGTGAGGTGGACAAGAGTGGGAAGCTGTCCCCAGTGTGCCCAGCTCACACCCCTCAGCTCCATGGTGCTCTCCCGGGCCACACGGCGGAGGTGGTGCTGCCCGGGTGTCCTGGGCCAAGCCCGCCCCCGGCTCCTCACAGCCATCCTTCTGCGCCACCGGTTTGACTGCCGGGCCTTGTCTCCTGCCTGCTCAGCCTCCGAAGGCCTCCCCAGCATTTGCAGCGCCTGCACGCTGTCCTCTGTTTCTGTCCTGGGCACACATAAGCCACCAGCACGGGTCAGGTGCCCGAGTACACTGCAGCGCTGCATGACTGTCTCTCATGCCAGCTCCCTGGGGTCAGCACCGATGTCGTCAACCAGTGCGAGCTCTAGGCCACCTGTGCCCCCACCCAGGTCCCAAGACACTGGCCCCAAGGGCGAGGTAGAGGCTGCTGGAGGTGACACTGGGCCAGGCCCTGCGGGTCAGGAGGGAGCAGGATGGAGTGGTTGCCTCGGCCATGGGAACAGGTGCAGAATGGCACCAGGACGGGGGCAAAGCAGGAGCTGACTCACTGTGGCTCCAGACCGCAGCCAGCATCAGGGCCCCAGCATCAGGGTGGGGACCCCGCCAGATGACTCTCGGGAAGGCTGCGCAGGCCGAGGATTTCCAGGCCAGCAGGCGCCTGGAGCCCGAGGGTCGTGGGACCGACAGAGCCCTACCCCACCCATGCGACAATGGCACCTACCCCTGGGGGAGGCTAATGGGCAGGACCCTCCCCAGCTGACAAAGAGACCCTGTTGTTCCCTTCCAACCATCACCTCTGCTGGGGCCAAGCAGGCGAGTGATGCGAGGGGACAAAGACACCACAGATCTTTCCCTGAGACCCAAAACCTCCCAGCAAGTGACCTCGGCCAAGGCCACAGTGAGGCTCCCCGTTCACAGGCCCCACTGTACACTGAGTTGGGTCCCCCCAAATCTGTATGTGAGAAGAAGCTCTGGGGGGCTGAGAAAGAACCACCCGAGAGGACTGCAGGGAGCCGTGTCCGGAGCTCACACGGGCCGTGAGACGCGCTCGCCCCCCAGCCCCGCCGCGGCGCCCCCAAGTCCACGGGCAGGCGGAGCCCTCGGGAGGTCGTTGCCCGGCAGCTGGGAAAACTAACTCTGCCTTAACCCACCTAACAAACCTTCAAGGCAAAACCCAAAAGGATTAAACTGTTTCTAAGTAACTTAACAACACCAAGAACCTTTACAGGAATACAAAAATGTCCAGCACCCAGCCAGGGAAGACTCCCAACGCCCGGCATCCGATCTAGGATCTCCAAGCACGCAGGGGACACAGGAACATACAGTTGGTCCATAAGGACAGGGAAAAGCAATCGATCCATTGATCCAGACTGAACCAGAGATGACACAGGTGAGCGAGTCTGAGGACGAGGCAATGACATCAGAACAGGTACAAGTGGATGCCACGTGCCCAGAGGAGAGCCTGACCGTGGTGCGCAGAGACGCGCAGGGTGTGACAAGTCCTGAGTCACTCCCGCAGGGACGAAGACGGTGGAGTCTGAGGTGAGACCACGGAGGGGCTCGGGCAGAGCGGACGCTGCAGACGGGAAGACAGCGAGCGTGGGAACACAGCCCAGGAGCCACCCAAGAGGGACCCGGAGCCAGAGACCCCGAAGTGGCAGAGGAGCAGGGCACAGAAATAAGACTGAAGAAATAACACCCAGACCTTTTAACCGGTGCACAACTTTTTCAAATTTGATGACAACTTTAAACCCACAGATCTAAGCAACTCCCCACGCCCCAGGCCCAAGAAGCAGGAAGAAGTCGACACCCAGCACAGCTAGAGGGGACAGCCCTGGACACAGCCTCTGGGCTCACCCTCAGACGGGGGCTCTCACCGCCGCCGCAGGCCGGAGCCCCCCACGTCACGCCCCACCTGGGGCCACCGTCTCCCCAGCACCCCCCAGGCTGAGCGGACCTTCCCAGGAGAAGCCCTTGGCCGTCGGCTCCCCTCTGTCCTAGTCCCTGGAGGCCGAGCCCTGCGCCATGCACACAGTTGGTGTCCACGCGATGTCTCTGGGGCAAACTGGACCCCTCCTCACACCACGACCCTCCGTCTTCCGCAGGCCCATGTCCCGGGCCCCCACAGAAACTGCCACCCCGTTAATCAGGCCTCGCCACCTCCTTCCTGGCTCTGCCGCTGTTTCCTCAAGGCCCTGGGGCTTCTCTGAACCTCTCGGGACCCTGTAGGCCGCGCATCTCTCTCAGCGCTGGCAGCCTGACAGGCCCTAGTTATTCTTAGTGCTCAATTATTTATCTTCCTCCCCCTCCTCACCCGCACTTCAGAGTCTTTAACGTGACTCCTGGGGCCCAGCCAAGGCCCGTTTCTCCCCACTTGAAACGAAGTCATTTTAAAATCTTTTGTCTTTAATTTTGTATCACCCAAACCATGCCTGTGGTACTTAAGTTTGTCAAGGGGTCGGAACCTGGCTGGTCACCAAGCCCTGCCTGCCAGGGGAGCCTCGAGGGCCACAAATGACAGGAAATGGCCACCATGGAGGTCGGGATGGGGGAGGCCACAGGACAGCTCCAGCTTGCGAGGCCTGCCCAGGTCCCTTGGATGGATAATTCAGGACGCAGCCAGCCGCAGGATTTGGGCTGGGTGTCCACACCCCGAGCAGCAGACACGGGAGAGGCTGAGACCTGGGGGCGGCCAGGTTCTGGGCCCACCTGCTCCCCCAACCCACGTCCTCCCTGGTAGCTGGTCCTCCGAGGCGCCGTCCAGGCAGGCAGGGTGGGCCCAACTCTCACTGCAGATTGGAAACCCGAGCGGGCAGCAGCTTCCCAGCCCCTCTACGTGACACTCAGACTCAGTTCTGAAGCCTGCAGTGGGGCGGGGACTGTGCCCGCCTCAGGGACCCAGGGCAGGGGTCTCTTGAGACCAGAAGTAAGGGTCTCCACCTACGCAGACACGGGAGTCCCCGGGCAGGCCTCCCCTGCTCCCTTTCCATTCTCGACTCAGGAGGCTCCCAGGTGACATTGGCCTTCTGTCCCAAGGCGCTTCCAAGCAGACCGTGTGCCGCAGCCACTTTCTTTCTTTTTTTTTTTTTTTGTCCTTTTT